CGTCGGTGGCTTGAAGCTCTGTCCTCTCGGTGCCCGTGGGGGGTCTCTCTGTCTCATGTGTCCCAAGCGGAGTTGGTCGCTTGGGTTCCCTCGAACCGGATATAATGCGTGGCTCTGTCAAGGAAGTCCTGTAGAGAGACTGGTCGGTGTATGGCCACGGCCTCGTAGAACTTGGAGTCGCGGCGCAGGCCTTGCTCCATTAAGTAACGCTTCATCTCGTCTGACGTCGTTACCTGTACTGCCTCCCGTGTGAATCTTTCGATGTACTTCCTGAGGGGCTCGTCGGGAGCTTGGATTATAGTGTCGAGCGCGGCTTCCATCTTCAGATGGCGTCGGGATGCTGTGAAGTGTCTTGAAAATAGGTCTTTCAAAACCCTCCATGACGTAATCGATTCTGGCTCCAGGCTTTTGTACCACGTAATGGCACCTTTCCTCAGCCTCGTTGGGAATAGTCTGCATTTGATAGCTCCTCGGACATTTTGGTAGTCGAGCATGGCTTTGATGTCTTCTAGGTGATCGTCTGGGTCAGAGGTGTCGTCGTACATCGAGAGCGCCGGGGGCTTCTCCATCCCGTGGGGAATGGGAACGGCCATGATTTCCCGGGATAAAGGAGTCATGTAGTCATCTTCGTCGCTGAGAGTTGGCGACCGAGGGGGTGATGGGCCATTTGGTGTAGGCACCTGGTTTCGGGCCCTCGACCTCCTGACCGGGGGTTCGACGCGCGGAGGCCTGGTCGGGGGATCTGCCCTAGTTTGCCGTCTTTCACGAACTTGTCTCGTTGGGGATCTAGTCCGCTCCCGCACTACTTCGGGTTGGGGCCTCTCCAGCCGGGGTCGTCGGTCCCTGGGACGAGGTGAAGGACTCCTCGAGTTCCCGTTCTGGTCTTCCCGCAGAGGGGACCTTAGCGGGACCTCTTGCTCTAGTGCGCCAATTCGTGCGTTCTGTTGAAATAACAGCTGGTTCGTCTAGTTGATGGCCGCGAAGAGAGCAGCCACAGTCGGGTCCGCTCCGGCCGGGACAGGAATGGGCTGGAACGCTGCTGGGCTCCAGGGTCGATGGACAGCCTGGTGTGCAGCTTCCGTGGACAAAGGAGAGGCAGTCTGGTCGTCTCTCTCGTCGGTCTCCGGAGGACGGGACGTCTCCGTTTGCTTGTTGCCGTTCGCGGAAGGGGTGAGGATGAAGTCGTGAACGGCATCGTCGTGGTGTGGGCTAGCCATATTGTGGAGTGTTGGTGAAACTTTGGTTCGCTGCTCGGAGGAACGGGGAAGTTTCAGTTTCCCACAGACGGCGCCACTGATCTGACCTGATCAGAAGGGGATCACCAGCTGGCTACACTCTGTTAGACTGCTGCCTGTTCACCGGTGTTGAAGAGGATGAGGGGGTGTACCTGCAAGACACTCCGATGTCAAAGTAAGTGTATGGGCAGAGTGATCACAAGTACAAAAAAAGAGGTAAGAAGTGAATTACCTGACCCTCTTGTGAAAGAGGGTATATATAGAGAGACCCCAGCGCTGGGCCAACGGTCACTTGTGTTGGGCTGGATTGCCAGGCCCAATCCATGTGACTGCTAGGACTTACGTGGCATAGTGAAGACCAGAACGTGGTCTTCGCCCTAGTTCAACTGTCTCGTGGTCTCCGGAAAGTGGGTTTGACCTGCCCTTTCGAAGGTGGGTAGTTGGTTAGTGACGTGTCCCCGCGGAGGAGAGCACGTGGAAAACGTGTGAGGGACACGTTGTCCTGCCCGACAGGGGAGCAGGTTCTGCCCGTGGAGGGTAGGCCCTGCCCACGGAGAAAGCAGTGTTTGATCGAAGTGGGTGTCTTATGCCCGACGTAGCTGAGGCAGGTCCTGCTCGCGGGGGGACATTCCTGCTCGTCGGGGAGCCTGTGCCCGACGCTGCGGCCCAAGCTGGACTGGGCTTGGCAGAATATTATTGGGTTGGGCCTGCGTGGCTAGGTCGGGGCCCAGACCAGAACACTTTTTAAGAAACTTAATCTTTCATGTCATTACCACATGAGTTTTTGAGATTTGCCAAAGATTTAATTTCTTTGGGATGAGAATGTGGTTTACCACATAGTGAATGAGACAAATACTTTGAGTGACCTATCGCGCTGTGAGGAGAAATCTCTAACCTGAAGTTTGATCAATTTTAACACATTGAGAAATAAAAAGGTAATCAAAATAGTAATTTGATTCAAAAAAACTCAACATAGTAGAGAGAGCCTGAGTAAGGTAGATCACAAGCAGAGGCATATTCTTCCAAAAGAGAGTGAAATTTCATGCTTGCATACATTTGTCTTAACCACCCCTTCCTCATAGCTGGTATTTGAGTAAAACGTCATTACCAACTTCGAAAACATCTTTTCTAGTCTGTTGCATATGAGAGTCATGGGATCGGCTTGGACGGATAGATTGAAAAAATCAAACTTTTTATAAACACTCTCATCCACATAGTGTCCAGGGATGAGATGTTTGTAATCAAAGTGTTGAAAGAACCTCCCTTCTTGCTCTTGTGATGAAAATTCACCAAACACATATGTTGGAGCGGATGCACTTGCAGAGGTTCAAACTCATTTTTCTGTCATTGATGATGATAATGAAGAAAACGCAAAAGTAGCACATAAACACGAGAAATCAAGAAGATGGAGATAAGATACTTATTTATAGACTTGAATTAATCGATTAATTGATTATTTAATCGACTACTACATTAATGTCAAACAATTTTGATCGATTGATGGAGGCAACGTGATAGTTTTCAAGACTTATCGATCAAAACCCTAACTTTAATCAATTAAAAGTCACATAATTTGAATTTCTAAAGAGCTAATAAATTAAATGATAGTTTTTCCATCTTTTCTGGTTCACTTGGGCCTTGAAATAGCTTTGGACCCAAATTTGAATTTGGCGCCTCCTCTTTTTAAGCATTATGCCCTTTTTAAAAACTTTATTTTTCAAAGATATGATTAGTAAAAAATAATTGAATGGACTTATGCAATCAGTTTAACATTTGTTAGAGAAATAATTTAAGTTACCTAAATTTCTTCTCTACCAAATGATTTATCTTAACCTATAAAAAATATCTCGAAAGGAGACTTCTCCACCTTCAACAAAACTAGAAAATAATGTTGATGGTCTGTTTCAAAGAGGGATTTTGATGAGATGAGAATGTTTTGTTTTCTTAATTAATGTGCTTTTGAAAACAATGATAGATGATTGAAATATTTATTTATAGGAAAAGAGATGCACACTAACATCAAAAAATAATAAATGTAACATTGCTAAAATAAAAAAAATAAAAAAACAGATTATGAAAAAGTTTGGATTTTTTTTATCTTTAAGTGATGAAATTATGTCCATTATTAAACTACTAGCTTTTTTTTTTTAATAATGAATTTTCATGCAAATTAATAGGATAAAGCAACATATTCCTATATGCCTATATGATAAAATTAAGTGACCGAAATATTCATGCATTCAGATATCTAACATTTAACATTGACGTCCAAATTATTAATCAAATTTACAATTGAATGAAACAAAAATCGCAACAAGACAATAAAACAGCATTGAATCAAAACAACACACCCCAAAACGACAAAGAGTGATTCCAACCCTAAAAATAGCATTAAACGACACATCTTCGGCGAAAGTAAAAGAAGAAACTAGAGTTACAAAAAGAGTAGCATGACTCAATAGCATTATGATTATATGGATCATGGTCCCTTCTAAACCCTCATTCTAAGCAGATCCAATATTCTAAATCACAAATATTGTTGCTATTATATGTTCTTCCTTTCCCCTGGAATCTTTGGGATTCGACCAGCCAGGTTTTGATCCATAACTTCACCTCTAAGCTCTAACGCATGGATAAACAGTTAAGAAGACAATAACCACTACAAATGTATTGTGGTTGAGTACATTCCAAGCCGCAACAAAACAACTTTCTTGAACTATTTATGAAGGTACAGACACTTCATTAGATTTTGTTTGACGCTAGAGAAGGGCCATGTTCATAGTCATGTCATTGTCAACTAGGTCAGGGTCGGCTTTGCCAATCAAGAGTAACAACGTAGCATTGACAACGGATATGTACCTAGGTAAAACAAGGGAGGAAAAAGCAAGACGGCGAAGGCAGGGGAGATTGAGAGAAATAATGGCATATCAGAAAATACTGTCTTCCTAATAACCGTTGTGGAGGGTGCAGTCAATATTAACATGTTTTTGAAAGCAATACACATAAATTGCACCAACAAAATTAATACCAATGTTAATTATAACTCATAATCTATCAAACATAAACAAACCCAAGTACTATTAATATAAAATAGGAAGAAAAAAATTATCGGAAGGCAACAGTAACATAAGAACAAGACATACTAACTGTGTCAACAAGACTAACTTATCAAATAAGAAAAAATGAGTAAAAAAACATAAAAATAACAAATGCAAAAAACGAGGGGAGCCATCAACCAAACTAGTGGGAAAGAAAAACTATCTGAACTCGAAACAAGGAAAGATAAAACCTGCTAAACTAAAAAATGATCACCAAAATTATCAGTAACTGAATACACAGATGAAAACTCCTAAAGGAAGATAATAAACACAATAAGTAGGTGTGGGTAACCTGAAGCAGACGACAATCATGTATGTCAAAGCTTGTTTCACCAACACAACGTGTATTGGTATTTCAAATGCTTGGACATACATTTGGCTGGTGATATTTGTGTATGATTGATATGCAGTGAAGAAATTGTAAATGTAAGTTTGATATTAACTTAACTTAACGTAAGGTATCTATCTATTTAGTTCTTTTGAGGCAAACAATTTTAGTCCTCAATGTATGCAACAAAAAATCCAACATACCAAAAAATAATTGCCCTTGTCATATCTGTGTCCTAGGATGTCTGTAATGTGTTCATAGCACACAACAAACACAGTCCAAAATACCAATGGTGTGCATCAATATTCATCTCAATGGTTTTCATCCTGCTTTTCTTCTTTAAGCGGTTTCCTCCTTGACTGTTGCTGAGGTTTCCTCCTTATCTGGTGCAGCGGTTTCCTCCTTGACTGGTGCTGAGGTTTCCTCCTTTACTGGTGCTGAGGTTTCCTCTTTATCTGGTGCTGACGTTTCCTCCTTATCTGGTGCTGACGTTTCCTCCTTATGTAGTGCTGAGGTTTCCTCCTTGACTGGTGCTGACGTTTCCTCCTTATCTGGTGCTGACGTTTCCTCCTTGACTGGTGCTGACGTTTCCTCCTTATGTAGTGCTGAGGTTTCCTCCTTAACTGGTGTTGAGGTTTGCTCTTTATCTGTTGCTGAGGTTTGCTCCTTACCTGGGGCTGAGAGCCTATCAGTTTCACTGCACTTAACTGATTCTATAACTTTCAGATAGTAACCCCAGGATATATTTGCTTCTCTTATGGGCCGCTGGCCAAATGGATTCGCCGACACAAACTCTTGAACATTGTCTGCCTTAGACAGCCTTTCTAGATAACCCCGAAGATCACCTTCAGGTCCTGTTAATAATAAAAAGGAATATGTGGGTAAACAAATAAACAATCCTAGATGTATGTATATCAATATGCTCAAAGCACTGGAATTGAGTCAATCAATAGACATTGCTACTTAGCCAACAATATGCAAAGAAGTAAAGGGTCCGAGGAAAGAAAGATGAGCAGAAGACTGCACCTAATGCTGAGTCCCTATAGTGTTGGTACCGGTAAGAATAAGGGAATATAGCTGTATGCTTCTGAAAATAATTCAAATAGGTGGAGTGATCACATAGTTAGAAAAACAAAGTAACACAAGAAAGCAAAGCTTATGCCAAATGAATAAAAGGAAAACAACTGAGCTTACAGGATTCACTAGTGCCTTGTAAGGGGAGTCATCGAGTAGTAATGTGTTTGACTCGTGGAACTCTCCTTTCTCCCATGGAAGACCAGGTTCCAGCTTTTCCCATAACTTTCTGAGTTCCTTCAACACAAGGGGCTTATCTTTATTCTCAACAGTATTGAATTTTGTTGTAGTACAGTGGGATTGATTCTACAGAAAACATAATAGAAAGATTCATTAGTGTATAGAAAAATTCCAAGTAGGAACAAATTTCTAGCAGTGATCATTATCAACTGCATCTTTAATTTAGTAATTTGTAATATGACACTATTTTACTATAATACCATTAGAATTAGCAATATCAAATCCAAATCTATTTTGTTCAAAGTGAAATATAAAAGTTATTGCTTCTTTTTAAGTAACAGTAGTAGTAGTTAGTAAATGTCTCTGCAGCAGAAGCATACAAGTACAGCAAACAAGCTTTATCCAATTAGGTGCAATTGGCTACATAGATCAAACGATGCCACAATGTTCCATAATGAATCATATTTCTAGTTTTAGTCAAGACATTGACCTCTAAGTTTTTCCTAGTGGTTTCTCCTATAGTTTTTTTGGCCTTCCTCCATCTCTAGCAATCCGGTTATCCTTCATTTGACCTCAACCAAAGACCTTACTCAATTACAACCTCCCTCTATTTGCACATTCGATAGATCCGAGATATTTAAATTGTGTGGCTTGAGCTATCCAACTTTCACCTCTAAGCTAAATGCTTTCTAAAGCTTGTCTCCAATTCTATAACCTCCAATTTATTTCCTCTCTTAACTCTCCTAGTAGGACTATATCATCTAAAAACATAAGTACATCTTAGTGTTGGCTCTTGAATGTGCTTCATAAGTACATCCAAAACTTTAAAAAGATAGGAACTTAATCAATGAAAACCAAAACACCTTTTGATCCCTCTAATATGAGTCCATCATTCATCATAGCAAGTAAATTGCTTCCAAAGTCTACCCCACATGCATAAAACAAATGGTTTGTTAGGAACTTTGGCTTTCTTTCTTAGCATTCCTACAATAATTATTCCCCACATATATATAGATAGTATCATAAAATTAAATAGGCAACACAATACTAAAATAATTTGTTGATCACCAAGAATTCTTATCATTAAAGATACATTAGTGAACATATAAATTAATTTTAATAGGCACTAACCATCAGAGATTCAGAGTAAATTTACTAATGAAGCATGACTAGTAAAATATATAGCACATACCCCAATACTACCTTTAGATATAGAAATTATTTATAGCAAAACTTACTTACCTAACCAAAATCCCCTAAAATTATGCTAAAAACTTAAGAATTAGAATATATTACCCAACAAAACAGCAGTTTGGATGCAGATTTCCCCAAAAGAAGTCCGATTACATCATCAACATTAGACCTGCCAGAATACACATACATCAAGGCACAGTAAAAATAAATATATAAAGCCTAACTTCGGAAATGCAAACAATCCAGCCCATTATGCATCGTAAACCCAAGTCAAACTAATACACACAAGCAATAAAATAAAATCAGTCACAAATTAGTAAATACTTGGTTCTAGATGACCAAACGCCCACATGAAATCTCTCAAAGCAAAACTGTATAAAATCATCACAAAAGGGCCTCTTAAACACTGCAAAAAGACACAAGTAAAATCTGTCAAATTCAACCAAGATAGAATATGGATTGTATGATATGAGGAAAACTGATATTTGACCATGTCACCTTTTCTCCTTCTAACCCAAAAATCTGGTTCTGGTTGATAATACCCATTAGGAACATCACTGATACAATCAGCAAGAAGTCCATTCACATCAAGGATGAGAAGCTTGTTTTTTGAGTTGCTGATAATAGTTCTCTCCACTGAGCATTGTGATATTTCTGAATTACCACTGCTTAAGCTTAAATCAGAAATATCAGTTAGACAACACAGATCATTTCTTGTAACCTCTGCATGATCTTCCTGTTTAGCATTTATTTCTTCATGTTGTGTAATAGGAATATCTACAATAGAAGATGTAGTCATAGAACTTTTCTCAGAACTGTTGTCTGCTATCAATTCCATTTCCTCCACTTCAACTTTGTTCTGATCGGTTAAATGTTCTTTTTCTCTTTCCATTAAGCCATCTCTCAATTGTCCATCAGAAACTTCATGTGAACCAACAGTGTTGTGGTCCTGGATAATTGGCTCTTTGTTTGAATTTTCAGCACTTGGACATTCCAAGTTTCTCTTACAATTGACATCATTTAATTTTTTCCTTGAATAGGTTTTAATGCTATGAGACTTATTAGACAAATCATGAACCTTTAGATCCTCATCGTGATTGTTTACCGGACTTCCATTCTTCAGAGAATCACTTGTTTCCTCAGGGTTGGAACTGTTCTCATTTATACTTTGCTCGATGTCCATTTTTACAACTTCTAACACAGACTCTTTAGCAAGTAACTTTGCATCAGCATCAGCTACAACTGAATTAAAGTTGTCTGCTTTGTCTTGGATCTCACTCTCTCCGTTTCCCTTTTCTGCAGCCTGACTGAGAACTTTCTTCTTTTTTTCTTCATTCCCATGCAAACAAATATCCGCTTCTACACAAGATTGGCTCGTTAATGCATCAGTGGACACACATTGAATAGAATGTTCAGAAGGCATGTCCAATGCAGATGTAGATTTTTTTGACAAAAAAGTATTCTCTGAAGTGCCACAATCATTAGCATCACTTTTGACTGAGTTATTTTTAGTCGTCCCCCTTTTTCTCTTTCTCTTTCCCTTTTTCTCTGTCAATTTAACATCTACATTGCTTTGGGAACCTGACAAATCAGGCAAAGCTGGTGACTCGTGCAAATCATTATCCAAATCCATCATAGATCTCCAGATGACGTCCTGAACTATTAAGCACAACAAAACTTCAAATAAATATCAGTAGTGTCAGTAAGATCACCCAACAAAACTCCTTTCACAATCAGTTTGTTGCCACGTTGATAGTTACAATTCAATAATTCTATAAATTACCATACCTTCTTTCTGTCCCTTAAATTAAAAAGCCTGCAAGAAAGAATAGTGACTTCAAAACAAAACATAAACCCAAAAATGACAGAACAAGGTTTAGAAGTCCTGAACCCTATCTACCATATCAAGTCAGCAAATAATGTTCTGAAATTCACTACTCATTCCAAAACAAAACAAAAATAATACAGAAAACAACCAAACATGTTAAGCATAAATTGGAATTTGAAAAATCAAAACATTTAGAACATAAACCCAAAAATGAAAGAACAAAGTTTAGAAATCCAGAACCCTATCTACCATATCAGTCATCAAATAATGTTCTAAAATTCACTATTCATCACAAAATACAACAAAAATAATACAGAAAACAACTGAACGTGTTAAGCATAAATTGGACAGAACAAAGTTTAGAAGTCCTGAACCCTATCTACCATATCAAGAAACTAAACAATGCCCTAAAATTCACTACTCATTCCAAAACAAAACAAAAAAAACATATATCAAAACACCTACATAAAATAAACTGGAACTCAAAGCAACATATATCACTACAGAAACTTTGTTTGAATGTTCCGAATCCATGACCATTAAATTGATGTCTATGAAGCCCGAACTCGGACACTGACACGGGACACGACACAGAAAGCCTCTAAATCTGACTCATCCAAAGACAAGTCAACAACTTCAAAAAATTCACTGTCATCTAATAATTCAAACTCTTCTCCAGCGACATCATACATTTTAGTTTCCTCTTGATGATATTAGGGAGTACTCCTTGATAGAAGTGGAAGGTTACTATGCGCATATACTAAAGCTTCCGCTCGATGTGGTGTCATCTCTTTAATAATGGATAAATGAATATGTGCTCTAATTTCTTTCAACACAAGCAGCAGTTGAATATGAAAAAATAAGAAATCCTAATTGTGTTGTTTTTATAGTGAGGAAGTGGAATATGAAATATAAAAATCCCTTTTTAAAAAAAAATTGAAAATTCTTTAGTTGTTTTTTTTTGTTACTGAAATTTTGAGTTGAGACGTGTCCTTTATTTAAAATAAGGTGTCGTATCCGTGTCTGCTGTGATTCAAATTTATTTTTTTATTAGACACTTCAAAAACGTGTCAGATACGTGTCGCACGTGTGTTGTACGCGTATCCGTGTCTGACACGGCGACAAACCGTGTGAATGACATCTTGGAGCTTCATAGATTGATGTTCTTCCACTATAAAACAAAACTATAAATTCTTCAAAAAAAAAACACAAACTAAATACAACAAACTATCACCCGAACAATCATTTTCCTTTTTCTAAGTCAAATTGTTAAAAAAAATATATCATCAAGAGCAAGTTAAATTACTTGTTTCGTTCATACTGAAAATGAAAATCCAAACCACATCAATGCTCAGATTCAAAAACAAACACCATATCCACACAATAAAATCCCCAATTAAGTTTTCAGATCTTGAATTAACCAAACAATTGAAGCAACAAGATACAAATAATAAACAACAGATTAAAAAAAACGAAAAGTAAAATTGAAAATGAGAAATATGAATGCATTGAATCGAAGAAGCAATAGATAGAAACAGAGAGAGAAGATACCTCAGTTGAGAAGCGCAGAGTGGTTAGAGGGTGATGAAGTTGATGTTACGAAATTAGCGATATTTCGTAAAATAGAGCGAGCGAGGGTTTTGATTTTATTGGGTTTAGTTTTTACTGACCTAAAAGTCACGCGCGGTGAAAAAAAAACGAAAACAATTCTCCGGTTTTCTTCACGTATGAATCACCGGATCCGAATCTTCTCCGGTTCAAAAAGTAGGTTTTTTCTTTTTTTTTTTTTTTTTTTCTTCTTTCATTTATTAAAATTAATTTTAAAAACTTATAGTAATAATTAATTTTAAAACTTATAATTTTAAACAAAATAGTTTTAAAACCGCTCGTAATCGGTTAATCCCCAACCAAACCCACGTTTTCAAATTAAATAAATGCCAATTAATTTCACGTTTCGAAATTATATAAATGAAAAGGCATTAAGATAAAAAGTTATTTTAATATTGTCTATTTAGATAAAATTGTTGTTTCGTCTTTCTTATTTATTTTTAATTATTTCATTTAAGTATAGTTCTTTTTCTTCGACTTTTGTATTTTATTTTATCTTTTTGTTTGTTTAATTTCTATTATTTAATTTCCATTTTTAAGAAAATTAAAGAGAACAATGTTAGGTTTTATTATCTAATAAATTGTAGTTGTATGATCAATATAGAAATAATATCTGGTAATGTTTTTGTCCTACTCTAGGAAGTTTTTTCTAAAAGTTTTACAATTTTTAATCTCATTTCTCAATTACCAACTATATTTTTACCTATTAAGTACAAAATATAATATTTTCTATTTTTGCAAATATCGACCTATCATGAAATAATTTTCTTTTTTTAATGTTTGATTCTACTTTCTACGATTTGTTTATTGGTTTTGACATGTATAAACATGTTATAGATGAAAGAGTTGTATATATAATTAAAATATTTTGGAAAATAGTAACAAGTGTCTCCAAAGTATAGGTTAAGTGGTAAATAAGTAAGTTGATTATCTTTTAAGAGACTAAAAATATAAATAATTAATTTAAAAAAAAAATTATGTGTATTTAATAAACTAAACATATAATATTTTTCTTATTTAAAATTATTAATCAATGCCTCTGTGGCACGACACTGGTTAGCATGACTTTTTTTAAATTTATTATTAAATTTTTTTAATTTATTGATTATTACATTTATATTGTTTGATTGATCTATTTTTCTATCTATGATCTTTTTTCTACTTCTCTCCTTTTATTCTCTATAATCATTAGGTTAGAGTATGAGTAATATTATTGAGAAGATAGTGTGTAACTCAAATGTTAATAATAAAAAATATATATTTTAATTGTTCTTGACATCTTTTATGTTTATTACAATTATTTATTAAATTTAAACAATTAATAATAAAAATTATATAAATGAAGTATTATTTTTTTTCTATTTTTTATATTATTTATTTCTCTATTGCTTCACTTATTTGTTTATTAAACATAAATATTAATTTTATTTCAATATCATGAATATTAATTTAATAATATATCTTCATGCATCACATGTAGACATCTAGTAGTTAAATTATTTTAATAATTAATTCTTCAATGTTTCTCTCTCATCTTTTATATGTATATGTTAAAATAATTAATTTTAATTAAATAACAATGTAAATTAGCTTTTCACTAAAAGTATATTCTAATTAGTCTCTTTTTGAAATCGTAACTCGAAACATTAACATGCTAATTTGTTGAATAATTTATTAGTTTAATCTTTATTGTTTTGTCATAACTAATTTAATTATTAAATACATTTTTCATTAATTTTTTCTTTTAAAAGTAAAATGTCTTTCTCTTATAATTATTATTAATCATGTTATCTATAAAATTATTATTCAAAGAGACATAAAAATGTGTTTCTCATTTACTTGGTATTATTAATATTGTAAAAGTGTTTCTTTTCCTATAACATTGTTTTTTAGTTTTTTTTCTCGTATAATTTTAATATATTAAAAAGTTATAGCGGTAATAGTTCATATATTTGAAAATTGTAATGATCATCTGTATTAATTTAATCACTAGACATTACAATATAACTCATACTCATGCGCCAACTCGAACCTACCTTGAAGTTGACGGAAATAACCCGTTTCGATTGGATTTGGGTTCAGATTTAAGTTTTTCCTAATTATAAAATATGGGAACGGGTCGGATAATGGGGACACTAATATCTGCCCCGGAACCCGCCTCGTTTGTTTCATTATGTATATTATTATTTATTTTTTATAACTTAAAATATTAAATATGCGGTAATACTTTGATATTTTAATTTGTATTTATAATTTCAAATATTAGATGTATGCATGGAATTTTTTTTAAATTGTTTTATTTTATTATTTGTAATGTAATTTTAATTTTAAAAAAAATAAAGATTTAAGTTAAAAAAATTAATTTCACTAAATGGATGGTGGCGGGGGCGGAGATACTCGAGGAACCGCTTTGCCCACTGAAGTTGCATACCTCGTGGAACCGCTTTGCCCTTCGTAACGGACAAGTTCATCCACTATCCAGGGAGTGCGAAGCGGATGACCTAAGACGATGAACACAAGTTGCTCATCCCTACTCTCACGGAGGAATCTTGACAACCATCCGTTATGCACTTGAACATTCAGCCCATAACGGAGACCATTGGCAAAGCATTGGGGGCTTACTATAAAAATTCTCCTCTGCATGAGGGTCAGGTATTCTATTTTTTAACCCTTTCTTACTTACCTCTTCACCCGAACTGACTTAAGCATCGTAGAGTCTGCAGGTACAACCCCCCCCCCCCCCAATTTCGTCGACCGTTCAAGATTGCGGGCGTGTTTTCGGCTACTCACCCTGCAAGTACAACCCCCCTTCTTTAACTTTTTTTCTTCTTCATTTATTTATTAAAATGAATTTAAAAAACTTATAGTAATAATTAATGTTTAATAACTTATAACTTGTTATGAATAATAGTAAATAGATATGAATGTTCATTTATCCAATTTCCTATATTCTTTAACTCCTATGAGTTAATTTCTTAACCTTTGTGTATTCCCTAAGTTAATGGTTATTCGTTGGTCATGTACTATAAATAAGATGCACATTCTAATGTTAAAGTATACTTTGGTAGAAGATAATATAATATTACTTCTCTTTTTTCTTCCTCTCTTTAATCTCTATATTATTTTATTTAGTTTTATAACATAACTTTCTATTTAAACAAAATAATTTTTAAACTGCTCTTAATCAATTAATCCCCAAC